ACAAAAGGAATTGTAACCGCAAGAAACACCCAGTTTATTACTCTAGGGTATTAGGCCCCAAACGAAAAAAAAAACACTGCAGTTCACCATGGCGAGGAACATGCTCCCTCATGTGGCCTATCATGGTGCTCACTGAGTCCTGCAGGGTCCACTTGCATCGCTGGATGGGCGCCCCCCCGGCAGCAGTGGGTTGTATACCGACCACAAAGGTGCATCGAGGTGCTGGGTGAAGAAAGGGAGTGTGCCAGGACGGGTGTAGGGGTGTGTACAGCCACAGTAGCAGGTCGGAAGCGCAGGAGTCTCCAAGGCCTCGGGGTTCACGTCTTCTTCCTCTGTAGGGGCGGGCGCCTCAGCGACCAGTTCCCAGGGGTCCTGGGTGCCCACCAACTCAATTATATCATCAATCGAGGGGCCCTCGGGACATACTTGCTCTGCGTTGGAATCACTTTGATGTCCAGCATCCGGTGGCAGGCCTGTGCAAAGTGCAAACAAGCCGAGTAAGCCAAGGCACATGCGGGAGAGGGTTACATTGGCACGGGGCAGCTGCCATACTTGCACAGTTGCCGATACATAGCATAACACACCAGCCAGTTCACCATCCACAAATTGCAAGACAGGAGCGGCATCAAAGTCCACGTCCACGCCATCCTCGGCAGCTGAGAGTGCAGCTGCTGCATGTTGGAAAGGATACGGCTCTACCAACTGAGGGGCAACGTTGTTCTGGCCTTCAAGGTCCTCAACGGCAGCTACTGGGCTGGGGACTAAGAATGGATGGACGTGCTGGTCTTGAACGTGCTGGTCTACTAACGGTTCATCTATCTCAAGCGGCGGAACAGCAGCAGAAGGTGAAGGCTGTGGATGCTCTACAATTATTGACTGGGCTTGGGTCTGCCGAAGGATGCAATGTCTGGCATGTCGTATAGCATAACGCCGCCTTTGACATGTATAAGCTTTACACCGAGAACACTGCCAGTTATTAGGATGAGCTTGCTTCAGCACAAAGCCAAGATGACTGAGGTCCAATTGCAAGGAATGCTGCATAAGCGAATGAGTACTTAACAATTCCAACAATCGGGTACATAGATA